AAATTACTTACATGGAAGAAAACAAAACAAGCAGCACCTAAAGTCAGAAGATGAAAATGAAAATACCAGCTAAAATCTGGAGAACAGATCTGAGTGAATCCCCCCAATTCGGAGAGTAGATTTGGACTTTCAGAGATAGATCACTACATTGTCACATGATAGAAAGTTCTAAAACAAGGTGTTTAGGATGATATTAAGCACAAAGAGTATCATACATTTGACAATATCAGTCCAAGAAGATGCACCTTAAAACTATGTTTTGTGTCCTGGTAAATGGTTTCATTAAAAGGACATACTCATAGCTAAGAAGAGCCAAGATGAAAAATACTTCAGAAAATAATTGTTAATACATATTAAGGTTCTAACATTCTATAATATAAAATGTTGATTTTTGACTTTTATGAATCTTCTTTTAGATCATTTAAACTTATTATTTAGATCATTTAAATGTCTTATTTTCAGCTTTACTTGTAAATATGTCTATCACAATATTAGGTAGAAGGCCAGACCATGCCTGTAATCCTAGCACTCTGGGAGGCCTGGCAGGTGGATTGATCAAGCTCAGGAGTTCAAGACCAGCCTGAGCTAGAGCAAGACTTGTCTCTAAAAATAGCCAGGCATTGTGGTGGGTGCCTGTATTACCAGCTACTCAGGAGCCAGAGGTAACAGAATCACTTGAGCCCAAGAGTTTGAGGTTGCTATGAGCTATGACGCTGGGACATTCTATTAGGGGTAACAAAGTGAGACTCTGACTCAAAAAACAAACAAACAAACAAAATATATATATGTTTTACATATATATATATATATATTAGGTAGAACAGGGAAAAATCAGATCCAGTACAAATGTCAAAAGTAGTAGAGTGGCTACTTGAAACATAGTGTACTAAGATTAGTAAATGTTATGCAAACATCACAAACTATGTTCATAAGCATTTCATATTATATCCTACTTTTTAAAGGATCAATTGCATTTTAAATATAAATTAAAGTATATTAAATTTGCATGGGAAAAGGGACTCCAAAGACAGGCCTGCAAACACCAATGGGAGAGATATTTCTGAATTACGAGATTGTGGAGGATTACTTTTCTTTACACAAATTTAATTACAATTACTACATATCCCTTTCATAATCAGGTTTTAATTGAATTAGCTTAATTTAAAACAAGTCAATAATTCCTAGCACTGATAAAATGTTCTTTAAAATTCTTTCACAGCACACTCCAAAGAATCCCAATAAATGACCAAACACACTCCAGAGAGTCATAGGCTCCTTAAAGGACAGCTTGGGGGATGCCTCACAATGACACTACTTGCAAGGAGAGGGGGATTGTTCTCACCTATAGTCAAAAGGCTCTGGTCTGTAAAGCAGCTTAGTTTTGAAAACTAGAATGAGAAGCTGTAAGCTTCTGTTGTAGCAAGTTAATCTATGCTTTGGACTCCAGATGGAGTTTTCCCTGTTACGGCAGGAGATACCCATCTATTTAATTCCTAGGAACACTGTCATAGAAGTGCCTACTGCCAGAGACGCTAAAGTTCAAAACATCCTGATATTCTTCATGCTGTGCTGACCATTAAGATAAATGCATTGGCCATTTCTACAGTGGTTAAATGCTGTCATCTGGGCTCTGTGCTCTGAGATCTTATCATCCCCACTGAAATGTGAAAGTTCACTGGCAGCTTCTGACATCATCATCCCTGACCATGAAAGTACAGCAGGATAAAGCTTTCTGCCCATGTTGATGGTATAAGGACTTTTCAACTATGCCTTAGTGAAAGGAAGGGTCTCCAGGCTCTCTTGGACAATGAGGGGAGAGGATGCGTAGGATCAATCCTTGCCAGTGTTGTATAAGCTGCTAAATTTCTCCCTCCATGTTTTGTAAAGGAAGTGCTTACATTTTAGCTTCAATAATTACCCGTTATTGTTAAGTATAAGTATCAGTCAACCTTTCAACCTAAATGCTAGAGCCATTTCTGAAGCGTCTTGTGAGTGCATGCAGATTGATGAAGTAGGCGTGATCTGGTGTTTATCCTGCACCTTCAGTCTAGCACCCTTTGAATGTAGTAGATACATATTCCTCAGGTTTCTACTCACTTAAATTAGTCATATCTTGCAATTCTTTGGATGAATTACTTCCTACTTTATCAGACCCTGTGCTTGACGCCTGGAGCATGCTAATATTTGATCCTAGCTGTAGATACAGTGTCAATCAGCAAAATAGTTAAGGTTAGCTCTTGGAGAAAATTGGTACCACTATATAAAACAACTGGCCTATATTACATATATTATAAGATTTTCAAGAAAAAGAGAGCTAGTGTGCTCAGACTAGGGAAGGGAAAGCTGATTTTATATGCAAAGAAAACTCAGAGTGGCTGGGAATTCCAAGTTTCTTAGCTTCACACGAATCCAACCAAAAGTTCCTGTTCCAAGATTCAGAAATGCTCTGACTTCTACTTGAAATATGGCTAAGGCTGTGAATTTAGCCTTACCTTGTAATTTTAAAAATCACACAATTTGATTTTCCTTTTGATTTTCATCAAAAAATACCTCTGTGGGTACAAGAAATTAGAGAATATTTAGCACTTCCTTGGTAGAACTCTGGTTTTCTGTGACATGAGCTAATAGTAAATGATGTGAGTGGTTGTTTTCTTTCTGTGAATATTCAAGAGCAATCCAAAGAATCCTGCCATGAGTTAAAAACAGCAGCCCATCAGTTACCCAGGGCTTTAGCTTTACTTTATTTTAGAGTGAAACAAAGGTGAAACTGTCATTATAGAGGTTCTCATTAGCCACAGTCAAGAAGCCAGTATTCACACCCTTACAAATAACCCAACCAATATCCACAAACACTTTTTAAAGGTTTTACTTCCTAGTACCTCCCTTGGTATAAATTGTATCAACTAGGATCCACACAGGAGATGAAAATCAAGATTTATTTCAGTGTTTTACTAAGAATCACTCATCAGATACTAATAGCTTACTAAAAAGGCTAAAAAGGGAGCAAGAGTGGTTTTTCAGAGGTCGTCACTTCAGGAAGCAGCTACTCTCCCCAAAGGTGGGAGAATAAAGGGAAGAGTTTGACGTTTTCAAATCTTAGGAGTCTTGTAAGGCAATCCATCACACTATAAAACTCACACGTGTGAGCCTGTGGAGCTGCTTGGCTGATGGTGTGTCTCTGAAGGACGTGCACCGTTGCCAGTTTGGTGAGTGTTGCAGAAGCCTCATGGATTCAGCTGCTGCGTAGGAAGAAGCGCCATTGCCGGGTGCAGGCGGGAAAGAGCACGCAAGTCTCTTCTTTCTCCTCTGCCCAAAGCTCCTCTGTGGTTTCTCTATTGGCACGGACTAGCAGCGGCCCAGAGCGCAAATCGGAGGTATGGTTCACATGGTTCCATCATCAGCACCACAAGCAGGGGAGTGAGCGGTGGCCCTGGACTGAGAAACAGTTTCCCAATAGTTGGCACAGGGCAGGAGTGGTGTCCGCTCCAAGGCACCATAGCCCCAGTGAGTATGGCGGACAGGGCTGGAGGGAGGCAGAAGGCAGAAGGCAGCGCCAAGGCCATACATTCCCAGGAAGCCAAACCAGCCACTAAAGAAGGAACTCCCTCCTGTCCCCATTCCCGGACGAAGGGCTCTTCATAAAGCCCTCACTTACAGCCACATGATACTTATTTTTGTTATACCTCCCTTTTCCAAATGGGAGGTTTTTACTGTGCTTACCTTGTTTCCTTTCTCCATTATAGTGTGATGAGATGACTCATCACAACCACAAAAGTCACATCCTGACATGATGCAAGGGACTGCACATGACCCAGGCTGCCCAAACCTGGGCTGGACTTAGGGACCAGATAGGACCTTGGGTTGTCTTTCTCAGACAGCGGCAAATATGTACTACATGTCCGAAGGATCTTCACTGGTTATTAGTGGTCAGAGGGACAGAATATGACCGAGGGCAGCAGTGGTCAACGTGTGCTCTCTCATTCCATTACAGAGAGATATACAAGTGCCGGGAAATTTACACAGAGGTCCCCAAGTTTACCAAAACTTGTGCACACTCAATTCCCACAGTAGACCCTTAAATTCTTGTGTAAGAAAAGTTGACCCTCCATACAGAGTTGCATCCCCTGAGTACTGTCCTTTGGTCGGTGTTTGTTGAAAAGAATTTGTGTATAAGTGGAACTATGTAGTTCAAACCTATGTGGTCCAAGGCTGGATAAAGGAGTTGCCCTGGCACATTTCACATTTATCACCCTCCAACACAGCCCGCATTTCCAGGTGTGTTTATGGGACAAATTTTGTCAACAAAATGTTAGAGTTCAATGAGGGCCACTCATTTTTGGAAGCATGTGCGTTTCTGCATCCTATTTTTTCTCCTTCGCTGACTGGATGAAAGGGAATAATACAATTTTAAACAGAAACTATTTTGGTCTTTAGAGGAAAATAATTAAAACGTTAACACAATGAAACAAACGATAAAAGTCAGCATGTTAAACATTTAGACCAGAAACATATATCTATGTGAGAGAATGGAGGAATTCACACATATGGATAATGTGAACACCATTAAGTAGGGCATCAGAAGTGGTCGGGGGCCTCAAGGAAGACAACTAATGGCAAGTTAAACTTCTAAAGTTGGAGCTTCTTAAATAGAGAACAAAATAATAAAAGGGGCAATTTTCTAAGATAAAATAAGAGAAAAAATTCCTAGGTTAAAAGAATTTTGTAGGTAAACATTATTTAACAAGTCCCTAAGACAAGTGGAGGTTAACCAGCGGGAGGTTATACTGTTGTGTAACTAATTTCAAGCATAAAATCCAAAACCTTTACTAGACTTGACTCAAATATTAAAAAAATAAAATAAAGTCTGGACATGTTGGCTCATGCCTGTAATCCTAGCACTCTGAAAGACTGAGGCAAAAGGATCCCTTGAGCTCAGGAGTTCAAGACCAGCCTAAGCAAGAGCAAGACTCATCTCTACTAAAAACAGAAAAATTATCCATGTGCTTGCTTCAGCAGCACATATACTAAAAATTGAAATGATACGGAGAAGATTAGCATGGCCTTTGTGCAAGGATGACATGCAAATTCGTAAAGCATTCCATATTTAAAAAAAAAAAATTATCCAGTCATTGAGGAAGATGCCTGTATTCTCAGCTACTTAGGAGACTGGACAGGAAGATTGCTTGAACTCAAGAGATTGAGGTTGCTGGGAACTGGGCTAAAATCATGGTACTCTAGCCTGTGTGACAGAGTGAGATTATTTCT